TGTCTATTTCTTTTCTTTTGGTGGCAATGATTTTGACGATAATTGTAAAACTATAAATACCGAACCGGAAAGGCAATATGATACATCGGGGTGGGTATCACCGGTTGTCGGTCTGAAGGCGATGTGATGAGTGTATAGAAGTATTCAGAAGTGATCCACGCCATTTTCTAAATGCATCTATAAAAAGTCACAGTATAATTACATATGTCTTTAATAATCTAAACATACACACATAGACACACATACACACACATATATATATAAAACATAACATATATATATGTATGTGTGTGTGTATATACACACACACATATGCATATGTATAGATATACGTACATACATATATATACATATATACATATATGAATGTGTATATATGTATATATATGCACATATATTCATTCATATATGATGTGTACATATATATATGAAAATATATATACATACATTATATACATATATACACATATATATATTGAAAACACGCTGCAATGAGCTCTCTATTGCGTTTCTAAACAAAAACAAATCACCGAAGAAGAAATCTGTACATGACTGGCAGGGGAGAGCTCCGCTCGATGACTGAACGCTTGCAAGGTGTGCGTGCCTTAAATATCGAAACCAGTAATTACATTATCTAAATTCCATTGCCATGAATGGATCTAGTCTCACCAAGCGTCTTGGATTCTCCCATAAAAGTTCTAGAATATATTGCCATATCCTCAGAGATTGCATCTATGGCCTTTATGTACTGTGTATGAGTGAATACTGCGGTACACTACTAAATATGTGCCATGACAGATTTTTTTATTTTCTGAATAGTAGAATAAATAAACAATCATTTTAAGGTCAAAGTTTGCTGAAACACACACACACACATGCATACACACACACACACACACACACACACACACACACACACACACACACACACACACACACACACACACAATCACACACACACAATATATATATATATACATACTATATAGCCATATATATGTGTGTATGTGTGTGTATACATACACACACAAACACACACACATACACACACACACACATATATATATATATATACACACACATATATGTATATATGTGTGTGTGTGTGTGTGAATGTGT